CTTTTGATTTCTTGTTTGCCTCCTCCTTCTCTTCTTTTCTGCTCTAGTTTGTAGAGAAATTTATGCTATTTGAGTAGGTTTCATGGGGCTTTTGGTAAGAAGAATTGTTTTTGGTTTTTTTTTTTTTTCCAAGTTTTCGGATTTACTGAGCTCTGGAGAGGTCGATGAGGTTGGTTTTAAAGTGTGGCAAATCTCTGTGAAGTTGAATTGGGATCGGTGATTAAGACTGGTTGATTTAGTTACCTCCCAAAAAGAAATTAAACATATACAAAAGGAAGCAGTATTCCAACTAATGCATAACAACATTATGAACACAGGAGATGTGTTTGTGCTTCAAGTTATCAATTTATGCTTAATAGACTAATATGATATTGAATGATTCATTAAGATACTTCAATGGATTTAAAATGAAGAAAAGTAACGAAAAATTGTCTTATCGTGATGAGATTTTCGAGTTAACATGTCCATCAGGGGGAGTTTTGTGTCTCCTCTCATGTTGCAAGTCTCGTTGGCAGATGATTTGTCAGGGCCCCCGGTGGAACGCCAAACTGTAGATGCAAAAATCTACCGTTATGAAAATAGGTGTGATCCTGAGGTTGAGTCACTGACAATCGTTAGACCTGTCACACATGAAAGGGCAGCATGAAGCTCCGGAAACACCGATGTGTGTTTGCTGTAGGCACTCGACGCTCAGTCAGCAAGGGTACCACTCATACTCACTTCTTCTTCATTAGCCGCCGCTGCCCCTCTCATCTCAAAGACTCAACCCATCCAACGAGGAAAGGTACAAATGAACACCTAACCCACACAGTACTTTGCATTTAATGAAAATTAACTCACACGCTATTTAAAAACGTCGTTCTTATTACGGAGGCGAAACTTGCCTGATGCAAACGATTGTTTTCCTCAGCTTGAATTCTACTTCTTTTTGGAAGAATTTACAGGAGTTGCAATAGAGGAAGGAGGATGCCTAAGCTTGAAGTTTCCTCAGCTCTTTCAAGCAAGGAATTCAGAATTCCGAAAGACTAAGAACCTCCCTCGCCTGTAAACTGGGAATACGAAAGTTATTCGTCGACGAGTACTAGTGTGTATATTGGGCTTGTGTTGAATTTTCTTGGATTCGGTTTGTTTTCTAGCCGACACTTCAGTTTGATATATCACCATGTAATTTGCATCCTAATTTTATACTATTTAATTTACTGTTTCATTTTAATTTCAACTTCTTTACTCATTAAAATTTCTACTATATTTCTTGGTTGTGATTCAACTTACAAAGAAGGCAGCATTAAATTTTCATATATCTCCTGAAAAATCTGACTTTTTAAGAAATACAATTCAAGTTTTTTTGGTGTCAGAAAATAGGAGTAAGAAATATCTCGAAATTTTAGTGAACTTACAATGTAGAAGCAGCAAAAAAATTTATTAATAAAACCGGTTAACCGGATTGCAAACCGAAAATTCGGTTCGGTTTGCAAACGGTTAATGCAAAAAACTGGACCGGTTTCGGTTGCCATATGGCTTGAACCGAAAACCGGTTCGGTTACCAAATGCATTATCCGGTTCGGTTAACCGGATTTTTCAGCCCTAGTTGAATCAGTCTCAAAAAAAAAAAAAAAAAAAAAATCTGTGCTAGAATTTAAACCATATCTCTCGATCAATTATATAGGAATTTATTGAAAAGTGTGAGAAAACACAATTAAAAAAAGGTGCCCCGACTCTCATTTTCTAAGTCAAAGCGCAATGGGTCAAGAAACAAATGCATGAAGTTTAAACTTTATATGTTATTAAAACTTATGCAGAATTAAGATTACTTGTTCACGTTGTGCTTAATGAGTTCTAACTAATGATTAAATATAACTGTCCACGACATAAAATAAAGCATACAACTCAATTTTATAGGTTCGACAATCATGCTACATCCATGGGACCAAGTCAGACGAAGCAATCCATTATGAAATTATTTGTTCAATTACAAAGACAAGAAAGTATCAGTTGTAAAAACTCCTGTTTGGACACACATTCACTTTGCTCTTTGGTTGAACTCAACCTTCATATCTAGCTTCTCTCTCATGGACACCAGGTCGCACTTAGCTCCTCTCAAGTTTCACATATGATGAATTACTTCGGTAGCAACGCTCGACCATGTAGATCTCACACGGAACCGTTCCAAATCAACTCATGCAAGCAAGAGAAAAAAACACGGTAATTCAAAGCCTACCAAGCATATTGGAAACCTACAAAAACAAACAACCTCAAAGAAAATATTCAGAGAATAATGAGGTAAATAATATGCTTCTTAAAAAAAGTCACAATAATAAAAGGATAATAATATACTTCTGACAAGGATTGGGAAAACAAGAAAAATCCTTTTAGATTTGCCTTCTTAGAAAAGGAATCATAATCATAATCTCCTTTTAACAAAATGATTCTTGAACTTATTCTGATCTTTTTTAAGAATAATTTTTGAAAAAGTAAATTGGTTATGTTACAGAAATGTAATTATTAATGTTTTGTGAAATGATAAAGTAAAACATGATTTTTAAAAATATTGAAAAATGTATTTTTGGGTTTTAACTTTATTAGGAAAACCAAGTAAAAATTTGAAGAGTTTACCAAATGAAGCCATATCTCCTTTTAAAAAAGATTTTTTGAAATCATGATCTTCTTTAGGAAAAGGATTTTTGAAATGATCTTCTTTGCAAAAGGATTCTGAATCATAATTAAATAAAATCTTTTCCAACTCACATATTTAATGTCCACAAAAATCTTTCCACACTGGAAATATAATCACATTTATTAAGGCAAATGCAATGCTAATATTAAATAAACTTAGATGTTTGATCACTGTGATTCTGTTTGTGACCACCTTTATGAAACTAAATAGATTGTGACTAATTTAAAGAAATAGTTACAAAACCAAAATACTTACATGCAAGACAAAGAAATTACACCCTGTAGCTCATGAGTTCCATAGGAAATTTACATGATTGTTTCCTGTAAATGTAGGTATAAAGGGGAGCAGCACATTGATTTGGTTAAGTCAGCTGGCTTGCTTTTTCCAGAATCGTGCTTGGAATTTATTATCTTTCCTGAACATTCATACTGGATTAAACGCTTATCCTTTCATCTTACTTCTATATTAAACCCGCACATGTACATTTTTCCATTGCCTTCGTTAAGCCAGTAACTAATTTTGTCCAAATTTAATTAATGCTAATAACAAATCTTAAAGTTTGGATTGTCGACAAAAAACCAAATCTTTTGTTATACAATAGAACTTTTATAGTGATATCTATCCATAATAACTTCATGTAATCATAAAAATTCTGGTCTAATCTGGGTCAATTGTAAATAAAAATAAACTTCATTATGTAATAAATTTAATTATTCTAGGTCCGTTTTAAGAATTTACCTTCACTAGTAAAATTATCATATATACAAAATATATGTTATATTTCATTTAAAGGTTTAAGATGAATATATATTTATCTAAATTTGTTTGAAACAATGATTTATGCTTTAGTTATTACCACATTTTAAACTTGCAGATAGTAATAACTCACAATATGAAACATTCTTGTTGAACCAAATTTCCTAGGTTCTCAAACATGTTTAGAGCTTTGGACATGCACTTTTTATTCCGTACTATCATCCTCAGAATTATCTCTTCTCTCTTTTGTCTAATTGCATGTTGGTTTTTTAGTTAAATATAAATGACTTGTTTCATTTGATGTTGAGGAACATTAATATCCATTCGTTAGTGCATATTTTCCCTCTACACCACTTGTACTAAGGATAACTAAGTCAAACAATAATTTTGTAACTATGATCTCTATTAAGTTATAACGTCCTTATAATATAAATGGTTTGATCTCACTATTATGACTATAAAAAGTTCTATTGTATTTTCAAATGATATATGCTTGATGGGTATTTTCTAGAGATAATTTTAATCAATTAATTATTTCATTGTCGAGAAAAATCTTCTCTATTAAAACTAGATATTGACTATCTAACAATCAATAATACTATACTTAAAAATTTCTATACAAAGTGATGTGACAAAAAAAAAATGAAAGAGGACAACAAAATCAAACTCACTATATTCATTCATTCATTTTTTAGCACATCACTTTATAAGATCTTAATAGATTTCTTATAGAGTATTAGAGCATCTTCAATGGTACTCTTTATTTTAAAGAGCATTTTTCATATAAAATGAGCATCTTTATTGATTTTTAATATAAAACAATTTTTATCAAATCCAATAACTTTAAATTTTAAGGAGAGTAATATGTTTTTTTCAAAAAGAAACTTAATAGGAGAGATAATATAATAAAATCATAGAAACTTGTAATTTATTATTTAAATTGATAGTAGATAAAATTTGACTTCTAAATGGAGAGTTAAACTCCTCTTAATTTATATTTAAAGAATAAAAGTCTTTTAGACTTTTTTCTATAGATACTTAATAATAAGAGTTAGTCATATAAATAATCCTTGAAGATGCTCTTATCACTAACAATCTAACATGATGTTTCCTTTCCTATTCAATTTTGAGAGTATTAATCTTGACCCGATCTATAGTCAACTCCGTTATTCTATACGATCTAGAATGCACAATCCACGCTTGTAATTTTCAAAATTAATACACAAAACAAATATAAATTTTTAATACGTAATAATACAGCAACAAAGCTAAATTTCAGGTAATTGATTACCAATAATGTACGGACATCAGACTTGCCATCGAATTTTTACAACTCGAATTACGTTCCATCAACTCAGACCAGCCACATATCACTTTACAAATATTTTGCAAGTGACAGCCGTCACTCAACTATGGATGACTGTCACTGTTATTGGACAGACGTCTATCAAAGGCCCCGCCCGTCCATGCAAAATGACGATGGACTCCTGTCCATTATATGGACGAGAGTCCATTTACTACTGTCCATATTCAATGGACGGGGGCTATACAAGGACGGGCAACCACCTTAATGGACGCCAGTATTTCCCCGTCCAAACTTAATTAAAAACAAAATTAATGAATGCATGTTAAATGAAGGATGCTCGTGTTAAATGTATGGCACGGCATCCCTTAATAATGGATGAGAGTCCACCGTTATTAGACAACCCGTCCAAACTTTTAATTTAAAAAAAAATTATGCTCAACTTAATGGATGGAATCCTCTTGAGTGGATGCCTGTCCACTCAAGGTGCAGAAATTTGTATTCCAAACCTGGAAGTATTCCTAAACCTGTAAAGAGTCATTCTTGCAGGCTCCATATGCCTTCACGAACAAGGCTTTTCTCTATTCATCTAACACCTCTTCCTCATGCATGAATACATAAATGTTCGAAAGCCAACTTGAAATCGGAGGTAATGACTTAATCTTCATTTTAAAAGTTTTTCAACGACTAAAGTTGCAACGAATAGAAGTGCTATGACATTGGATTTTTGTGAATTAAACAGGCGGAGAGAAATTAACAAGTAGTTTGAAAAGCAGCATATAATTGAAGTATTGAACGAGTTTACATTACAGGTCCTTTTTATGATCTTTTCTGCAACTGAGAAGCCTAACACAAAGAGCCACACTTTCTCAGGAAACCAATCTAATACATAGATTAGCTCACTCATCATCAACTCAACCCAAAAGCCCTTTCAATGCTCCATTTGTACTGCTCTCATACACTACACAGCACAAACTTCAACAACAACATTTCACTTTTCATTGCACTCCCTTCTGTAATTAATTATTTCCGACGACTAGCAGATCTCCATGGGCCCTCTTGTCTTGCTAGCTGAATAACATCAAATTTTACAGTTAAAACACTAATTTACTTTTTCTGGGTAAAAACAACACAAACAGGGTTCAGCTCAGCCCCTGAAAATAAGCTCTAGTTTCTTCTTCAGTGTTGCATTTCCTTCTTCAGTTGTTGGAAGTCCTCCTACTTCTGCAAACCGCAAACACACGGTAAAAAAAACTGTCAATTTCTAGAGTGTCAGGTGATTAATATTAATAATAATAATTAACATTTAAACATCTATCATCTGCACCTCTGTGGTGCGAAGGGTTGAAGTAGTTGATACTTGAAGCGATTGCGATCCGATGATCGGTTGGATAGGAGGATGGAGAACCACCCAGTGAGAAGGATTTAGTCAGTCATGAGCATCTACATGAAAGGAAATGAAACATGAAAACTCTCTTGTTAAGTAGTGTTATAAGATATAGACATCTAACATTGGGAGTCAAGAGATGTTAGAAAGAAGGCACTCAAAAAGAAACTGATTACAAATTTCTGCACCTTGAGTGGACGGATGGACTCGTCCATTCCGCCATTATTAAGGACACCCGTCAAAAATTTGAACGCGTCCATTAGTTGAGCATATTTTTTTTAAATTTAAAGTTGGACGGGATCCAATAACGGTGACGTTTGTCATTATTAAGATGATGTCCGTCATAACATTTAAAGGCGTTTCATTATTTTGTTTTTAATTTACAATTGCAGCATAATGGACTCGATTCCTCTATTCCTTCTCGGAATTCGATTCTTGGCGCCCTTAGTGCTTGTTGCTTGCATATTTACTGCTTCATTTATAGAATCTGTAACCATGCTTATTCTCTGTTTCTTAATTTATTTATTCATTAAATAAGATTCTGTATCAATGATACTTAACAAATACATGCTGTATTCATCTGTATTTAATGTGATTTAGAATTTATAAAGGACTCCGCTCTTTAATTTCTAGTTTTTTTTCAGCTCAACATATGAATCAGTCAGTATTTATCTACCAGGGAAATCTAATCCAATCCATTCAATATGGCTATGAATTCCATAAGGAGTACAGATTGTTTCTGTGAATACATCGCAGAGCATATAATTTATTGAAAATTCGAGAAAACATTAAAATAAACTCTCTTACCTGCGACACCACAAGTTTGTTACAACTTTCCTCCCTTTATCTCCCGCCATTACGTCTTCTTTACTTCGCCGTTTTCCTTCAGTTTCTCAACATGAAGGTCTTACCTGCTTTACTTCGGGTTACCACCAGTTCCACCGTTACTCCTCTCTCTGGTATTTTACCTCCAACTCCTGAATTTTCCTCTCAAATTTATAATCTTTCTGTACTTAACTGATAAACTTCTTTGACTGGTCATCCTGTAATGGTAATTAAGTATTATTAAGGATCATGGATGAGGATTCTGTTAATTTTTCATATTGAGGATTTAATTTACAAGTGCCAGGCTGGTTTCAGGACCTCTGGAAGGCAGAAACGTCCTTATTTGCATTTTATTTCTCACCTTCATGCTTATTAACACGTTTTTATTATTGGATACGTGAATGCTTGTTTCTTATATACATAAATAGATTTACAAACCGACTCCCATCTTGTTTATTTCTGGTTATTTGATGCGCTTGTGTGAGAATCATAAAATGTAATGGTTTTTCTTAGGCCAGATTTTGAAGTGTTGATTGTTATTTTGCATTGATCTGAGTTCCGTGGCTTAGATGGGATCTAGTTGTCATAGGCTTGATCTATTACTTTAGTTCTGATAGTTTGTAATCTTGAATTTCAATTACATTCGAGTGCAGACGATGTGGATCCCGCCACTGGCACGAGTTTGTATCCATCTCACCGATGTAAAACTATTCACCTGGTTCGTGCCAAGATTTAATTTTTTGTTTCTTTAAGTATTGTAGAGATTTTAATTTGAGAAGACTTGTGGTATTGTAAATTTTTGCATGCAGGTGAGGCTGCTCAGGGTACACAATGTAGCCGCGGAAAAGAACCATGATGCTTACAAGTCTTGTGATTATTTTGATGCACAGCTTTCCCAAGACGGCTGGAAGCAGGTAATCACCACTTAAATTTTGTTTCATTATCAATTTAGCTCCTCGATCTTGTCAAATGTTTTTCATCTAATAAAACTAGAAAGTTTTTCAAGATGATGTTCTGTTAGGACCTTGAGAATTTGCGTTTGTTTGTTTCAGCAGAAGATATCATTATCAATTTATTAGTGTTTGTACATTGTACAAGCTTTTAGTGAAAAACATGGTATTTAATATACTTTTCGTCATATGTAAGTTAAATGCAAAATCAAAGGAATAGACTAAATCTAATAGATTACATGCTTCACCCCTTTGTTCAAGATTTAAACCATCTTCTTCAATAACCTCAAGCACATCACCCACAGGGATAACAAAAGGATTAAGTTGATCAATGTATAATAATACGAGCCCCAACGTGTATCACCAGGTAGTTTTAGACTTGTCTCTTGGTTCAAACCGTGCCCTTGCTAACTTCACCAATTTCTAGTGCTTCAAATACTAACTTGGCTCTCCCGAAGCATATCTCGATGCTTATATGAACCTCCAGCAACATTTATCAAATTAGTAACCAAGCTGAAAAACGAAGCAACAGAGATGTGATTTTTTGCAACGACTACTAGTGTCAACTAAAGTTGGTGAGCAAAACAGTGAACATAATAAGCATATTCATTCTCCCTCAAAATCAAACTTTTTAGACCATTAAAATTCTCCTTGCATATTACTTGCCCCGTCATAACCTTGTCCACGTAATCTTGATAAACTCAATCCATGCTTACAAAATAATGACTCAAGAGCCATCTTAAGTGATACTGCAGTTGTGTCACTAATATGTAAAATGCCAAGAAATCGCTTAAGCACATGACCCTTTTTATCTACATAACGTATGGCAATAACCATTTGTTCTTTAATTGACACATCATGAGATTCATCAATCAAAACCGAAAATCTGTCATCTCCAAGATCACTATTGATAGCCTTTATGGTTTCATTTGTTGCAGCATTCACAATATCTTTTTGAATCACTGGTGCTATCAATTTAAGATTCCCAGATGCATTCTTCAAAACAACACTCTTAAAATGTTCATTGTGCTGAGCTAGAAAATGAAGAAGTCCAAGAAAGTTACCTTGGTTCTTCGAGTCGTCAATTTCATCATGCCAACCAAAAGAAATCTAATGCAAACAATGGATGCAGTCAAGTGAGTTTGGTATTAATCCTAACTTGATCTGATTGCTTAGACAAAGCCACTTCAATATGTTGCTTTTGATTCATTAAATTCACACAACTCTGTCGTGCTTGGTTATAAGCACTATTTGGCTGGCCAACATGAATTTGAAAGCATTCTGGTTTTTTTCAATTATAAAATCCCTCACTAACGAAAGCGTCACTACTAGCTTGGCTTATAATGGAAAGTTTAAAAAGATAACAATACAAGTAGAATGCAGCATCTTTGGTCACACTATACTCAAGCCAATTGCCATACACATCAAACCAAGCAGGATTAAATCGAGGATATCCTTTTCCAAATTTTGTCAGTCGAAATGCATGATTTTGAGGCTGGCAACAACTCTTTTGCAAGTAAAATCTTCGAATTGCATTCCTATAATTAGGATGATAATGATTGATTTTAGGACGTAGAGTTGGATCAGATGGAAGATCTTTCAAGATGGCTTTTAGTTCTACATGACTTTCTTTTAATGGATCATTTTCTTTATCATTGGCTGTATTTTCTTGGACTCATGAGGATGATTGGTCTATTGCTGATTTTCTTTTGAGAAATTTATCCATATTGCATACCTAATAAGAAGTTTTAAACAAACAAAACAATAAGAAATTGTATAAGAATAATAACCCATAGTGATTTACATACATAGTAATGGAAAGACAATAAGAATATGATATTTTGTGGGTTTGAATTCCTTTTAGACTCATTTAACATGAATTATAGTGATTTACATACATAGTAATGGAAAGACAATAAGAATATGATATTTTGTGGGTTTGAATTCCTTTTAGACTCATTTAACATGAATCATGCATATTTATTAAAAAAAAAAAAAAAAAGTCAACTCTTTTTAAAATGTCCCAAAAATAAAGATGAATAAATTATAAACGATAAAAATCTAGGTGTAATTACTTACTCAACATAAAAACAAATAATTCTTGATTTACGCATGTCATTTTATAATTCTTAAAGAATAGGAAAAAAAAAAATTCATAGGAAATGTTTATAAAATTTGATTTAGTCAAGTAATTTAATGAGGATGAAAGAAGCAATATATAAACAATGATTGCTCAAGCTAATTTTTTCAAACAATAAATAAATAGTTGTTTATGTTAATAAAGTTTAAAAAGTTTTTGATATTGTCAACAAACTTGTTATCAAAGAACTAATTTTTTTGTTTGACATTTTTTCATTGTGCTTGATTAAAAATCTTAAATATGCATCTTTTAAGTTTCTGTAGTAAGTATGTTTTTATTTTTTTGTTTTATTTTTTATTTTTATGTTGATAATAAGTTTTTGTAACCTAAACCTGTTATCATTGTTGCATCTTTTGGTATAACTTTCAATTGCACATTTGCATTGCGTTCAAGGAGAAAAACAAGGCAAAAGAGAGCATTGAGGTTTTGAAAAATTCTTATGTATTTTATTTAATGCAAGGCAATAGCCTTTTGCCATTTTTGTGCTTTGTTTTGCCATTTTTGTGCTTTGTGGTCCCTAGATCATGTTTGTATTTATTTGTACCAATGTTCTGATATATGTATTAAGTATTCTCACAGCTATCAATTGTTTCAGTGCTCATTTTCTTTTCAAGAATAGACAAGGATCTCCCTGCAACAAGAAGAAAAGATTTGAAACTAGTTTGTACTTTGTTTAACAATAAACATGTGATAGCCTTACACACATGAGAGAAGGAATAAAGAAAACATCAAGGCACCACAAACCATGAACAAACATCAAGGGACCACAAACCACAAACAAACATAAGGGACCACAAACCACATAACTTATAATTTATTTGATACAGCAAAAGGATATGTTTTTTATTTTTTATTTTTTATGTGCAGTATTTTTACTAAACGTAAACAATAATCAACAACAGAAAACCTAATTATAAAATAAACAGTCACATAATTCATTGTCATCTCATCAAGACATCAACATGAAGACATCTTCACTAAATCATTCAATTTGATTTATGGATAACATTATCTCTTAAAATCATTCAATTAAGAATATTTTACTATATGGGAAATTCAAGCTTGGATTCTTTGACACTACTCTTAGTCTCTTACTGGGACATATCGCTTCTTAGGAATATTTTACTATAGGGGAGAAACAACAGGGGAAAGGTACTGCAGTCTATAGAGAGACTTCTAATGGCTGGTGTCAGTTAGTGTGGGTTGCCAACAGGGTTACAGGAACACCCTTGTCTCTCAAAATTCACGAGTAGGCGTGGGGACGTCTGGGCATTGGCTAAATGGTGAGCGGCAATTCAATGACTCTGGTTGGCTATTATAGGAGAAGGTTTCAAGTTTAGTTATACTTCAAATCTCAAATTCTAAATAAATAATACTCAATTTATTGGAAGAATGCAATAACAAAAGTTCTAAAACATCATTGAATAGAGAAAATTAGGGATTTGGGGTTAGGGACATTACCTTTTAATAAATTGATGAAAAACAGTGTTGGTTGAGACTTGGAAGGAGAGTTTAGTGAGAGAAACTTGAGAGTTTAGTCTTTAGAGCACCTGCACCATGAGAGAAAGAGGGAAGATAGGTTCTTGGCGTGCGTTGCAGTTCTGGTAATTAGTAAGAGTCCAAAAATCAAAAATGAAATCTCATTCTTTTCCCAAAATGTTAAAGTTCTATTAGGGGGAAAAATGCAAATAAATATAAATATATATAAAATCTGAATTTTTTTGAAGTTTGAGTAGGGGCCGTGGTCTCCACTCGTCATTAATTAAATCCACCACTGTTTGGGTCTGTAACAGCTATATTCCTTTTGCCTTTGGAGACGTGTCATGTTCTGGATGGTAGAACAGTTTGCTGGATTCTAATTGGTGCTTGACAACGTCAACATATGTCAGCCCTTATTTTAGGCATAATAGTTTTAATCACTTCTTCTTAGTTGTAATTCAATATTTCGCTAGAGTGAAGCTTGGATAGTTGCACAGTTATATATCCTTATATTATTTACATTGCTTAAGACATTTTGTTAAATAATGTATAATATATATACCAGGTGACGCATGGACAAGGGATGCACAATGTAGCAGCAAAGAAGAGTCTTAAGGCATTATTGTCTCCTAAATTATTTGATGCTCCTATCTCTACTCTTGGTTGGCAGCAGGTAATGGAATAATTAATCACCACATTATCTCTTTGATCTTGCTTTAGTTAATTTTAATTACTTGAAAGTGTTTATAACAGGTGGCTGATCTGCGTAAGCATGTCCTTGCAAGTGGGCTGTTAAAGAGGATTGAATTGGTTATCACTTCTCCTAAGTCAAGTTATGATCCCTTCTCTAATTGATGATTATGAATGTTTGCATGGATTAAATTAGCAATTGCATATGTGTTTCAAGGCCATGCAAACAGCAGTTGGAGTTTTTGGTTGCGAAAGCCACATGTATGAATATGGGTTAGATACATGTACACCTCCAGTAATGGTGGCAAATGATCATCGCAATGCAACGCTGGCTCTCAATTGTGTTACAACAAGTGATATCTTGCTGGAAACATGAAGAAACGATCTGAAGGCTTGCCTGATCTGAATCTTGTGATCACATGTGCAAAGCTAAGATGGATGCGACCTGAAGTACATGTGATCGGTAGTGATCTCAAGAGCATGCGATCTAAAGAAGTGACCAGGAGGTAATGCGACCTAGAAGCAATGCAAGAAGGAGTCCATGCGATCAAATGAGCATGCGATTAGAACCATTATGCGACCTGCCTGAAAGAGGTAGTTGATTCAGAGCCGATCTAGAAGGTGTCAAAGTTGGTCAACTACTTGGAGTGGTTCAGCTGACTTGTAGGGCTGTTTAGTTTCACATATTTTGTATTAAGTAAGAATGTATGACTTTCTGAGAATAGCCTGTAAATACCTTTACAATTTAGATTAGCATTTAATGCTTTACAGAGTAATCATGATAGTGATGTATAGGATGATGTCATATGTTTGTATATAAACTTTGTTAAAGTTAATGAAAACAATTGAAAACGAAAAATCTCTTAGAAAACATTCTCTGAAAACTTGTCTCTAAGAATACCCAAACAATTGCATGCATTCTTTTCCTTTGAATTCTCCAACTTGTAAACCCAACAACGCTCACCAATTTTAGCATTTGAGAAGTATCGAGACTGTATGGTGCTTTTGCTAACATTATTTTATAAGAAGAGTTTGTTTATATAATTTCACTTTTCTGATTTGATTTTTTGTTTAGACAGATTCATAATGATTAAGATTTAACGGTTTTTCTACTTCTGATGCATTTCCTAATTTACTTCAGGGAGTTCGTCCATTTGATAAGAGGATAAGTGTCAACAAATATTAGTCTCTTTTACCCACTATCGACTTTTCATTTGTAAGTACGTAATATCTTTTCTTTAAAGGAGACGTAGAAAAGTTTATATTGACCAATAAAATTGTAATTATAGAATTTCTGTCTCAATTTTATATCTCATGTCACAATAGATTTTTCAATATTATATTAATAATAAGTCTGATAAATTACACTGAATATATATTGTTGATACTCGATTTTGACACCAACTATTCGCACGTGTAAAATGCTAAGAAGGCTTAGAAGTCACACGTGATATGAGAGGATTGAATTAAATAAAAGGTGAAGAGCAATATTTAAAGTGGTTTGGATGCCCAAAAGCGAATCTTACGTCCACTGCTATTGTATTAATAAGAGAAAGAGATCGGGTCGCATTCAGCGAGCTGAGTTACAGTAAAGGGTGAGAATACAATAGAGAGAGAGAGAGAGAGAGAGAGAGAGAGAGCTATTTTAATTTAAAGTTAGCTAATCCCCGCAAATGAGAGGGAAGTCCTCTATTTATAGTGGGAAAGTTCAAGGTAATGATTATAAAAGCTGCAAGTGGGTATGTGCCGTACAAATCCTTTCTTTGCGTCCCATTGGCCACTTACCCGAGGGATTTCCTTGATTAAAGCAGGGCTTTGACACGTGGGCGATCTCTAGCCGTTTGCTGGCCTAGCACTCACCTGCCGCACTGATAGGAGCCATGCTACTTGTGCTAGGCGCAACGTGGCTGCACTTGGATGGCACAGAACCCTTCTGAGCTCTGACCATTCTTCACTAACGAGGCTCCACGTCAGCCTTACTTTTTCAGGCATAACAGAAGTCCCCCAGTTTTTTAAGGTTTAAGGATTGAACCTTGAGAACTGCATAATTATGCCATGATTTGACAAACCCCAAAGGACGCCTGGTCGAGCCGACCTGGCTACAAGGAGATCGCAGAATATTTTTTCTATGAGCGACTTGAAATGGTTTTCTTCTGCAAAGTTGATGACTTGGATTAGACCCTACTCAGTGCTATATCGATGCACCTCTTACCTTAACAGAGGTCCGCGACCTGATTACACAACATATTTTTGCTAGAGGTGAGAAATCACATCGCTCTGCAACAAACATGCGACGAAGAGTGTTTTACTCTAACGACCTCTTCAGATGTTATCCGTTGCTCTTGACAGCTAATCCATTAATGAAGTGTCCTTTATTCTGATAAACATGTCATGTGCGCAATAAGTGCCAGCCATGCACATTAAATGCAAGCTATGCTGAAACGACATTCTTTATCAGGGCATTAAATGCGGATGAGAGCACATTTAATGTGGAGGAGGGAATCGAGCTTTTGTTCAATTATTTCAACGGAGAGATGCGACGATTGAATTTCTTGAAGCGTGGCGGTTACTCTTTCTCACTAATTGATGACATGTGATTGCGATCAACGGTGAGAGACGCATTCCGCCCAAACGTTGACTGGCTTCGGAAATATCAATCGCCATCTCATTCACTATAAAACCCCCGGTTCTCCTTAAGCAATGTCACAACATTCACACTTTCAGAAAAAAAGCAAGAAGCTCTTATGAGACCATATTTTCAATCTCTAAGTTGGTGTGCACTTTCCGCTCACAGTAAGAAGTTCGACCCCCACAACCAAAAAGGTAAGGAAGATCCTTCCATTGCTTTCCTTTTTCTGTTTCGAATGTAGTTAACCAGGCTATAATGGTAGGTTTCTATAAGGAATAGGTTTTTAGGGTACGAACCATCGGGGGTGGTCCCCAAGGGTTTTTAGGGTTTTGCTCTTCCTCGTCGTCTTACAAAATTCTGTACGGAGACTAAGTAATCTCTACGTGTCCCCCTTTTTCAGACCGTAGAAGAGATGGACCCTACAACAAGCAGAATGGATGAGGGGACAAGCTCGCAGGCGTAGGACATCCCAGTGGGTCTTGTGCAAGAGATCCTGTCGGTAGCTAGCCGAGACGAAATACAGGAGGCAACAGACCAATACACGCTTAGCGTATACGTCTATCGATACAGGAGGCATACATCTCAGAATTCGCCAGAGGGAATGGCTGCGATCTCTGAAGCTATATTCAAATGTGGAGCGTTGATTCCCTTCCATCCCTTTGTTAGGTTGATCCTCGATCAGTTCGGGGTCGAACCTTTACAATTGACGCCTAACGCGTATATGATAGCCATGGCTATGTATATCACGTGCGCCGAGTACAGCCTCGGCCAACTGACTACGCTGGAGCTCGCTTGCTCATACTATTTAAAAAAGAGTGAGGACAAAGATTCTTACTACCTCTCGAAACGACCCACGATCGAGGGAGACATTTACAATTACCCCAGCAATGTCGGGGCATACGAGACCAAGTTTTTTCTTTTTTCATTATGATGGCATCTGCCAATTTGGGAGCCGAATAGGTCTTCCCTAAATACTTGGTGAATTTTTTCTTTTCCTTTTGGCTTTGCTTTCTAACTACCTCTCTTATCTCTTCGCAGGAAACAAGTTGACCAGGTTGACAGATCTTTCCTACCTTAATCGAATAGTTTCATTTGGTAACCTGCCAGATCATTATCGCAATGTGAAGCGGCTTGTGACAATCGTGAACTTGAGGAAGTACATCTTCTTTAACTCTGAAGCGTCCTTGGAACCCTTACCTCGTAAGTGTCCATAGTCTTTTCAGATTTTTGCTTTTGCATGCAGCGAACTTTTTACTAATAGTACCTGCACGTAGCAAACATGCCACCTAGAGTGCCGAAGTCGTTGAGAGAGAAGGGGTTCGTTTTTCCCTGGGTTGGCTCCAAGAGACCAGCCGAGGTGGGCCCTAGCGACACCCTTGTCGAAGGAGCATAGGTGGGGGCGCAGCCTCCCACCAAAAAACCAGTAGAACCTTTTCAGCCTGCGGTCACACGCCCAAAGCAGAAGACCATAGGCCAAAAGTCCAAGAAAAGAAGGGTGCTGTAGCCTGAGGAGTCGGAGTCGGAGTCGGAGTTGGAGGGCTTGGGGGTGCAGCCTGAGAGGTCGCAACCTTATTAGGCTCTTTTCTTAGAAGGGAGCTCGAGGCCCGCGACCGAGGTTACAGTGGTCCGTCTGCACAGGGTACAAAGGGGGACCGTAGCTTCCAGGTGGAGAGAAGGCAAAAGGCCGGCTAGCGATGTGCCCTCTGATTCAAGAGCTGGCACACCAGTGTTGGACTCTATGGGTCAACTTCCGGAGCACCTGCAGCCGGTAATGTTCACCCTTTTGGAATGTCAACTTGCCAAAGTCTTTTTAGAGCTCGTGACCTCCAACCCTGTGGATCTAATGATCGGGGCGGTTCAAATGCAAAGTCAGGTAAGACGGTTTGTCCTCGTCGAGGACTTTCCAATACTTTACTCTTTTTAAGGAGACTAAGTCTAACGCTTGCTTATTTTACTATGCAGTCTTTGCTCGCCTTGCACCTGGCCCAACAAAAAACCCAACTGGAAGTTATTGGGGGACTCTTCGAGCTGAAGGAAAAGAACGAGCAGCTGAAGCACGACTTAGCAACTACAAAAGAAGAACTGGGCTTGAACATCGTTCAGACGAACCAGTACATGTCGGAGAGGAACTCTGCTCTTCACAAGGTAGACTTCTAGAAGGCCGAGCTGGAGAAGAGGGGAGAAGAGCTTAAACAACTTCAAACGACAGTGGCCAGGCTCACCAAAGAGGCTAACGAGAAAGAGCTGGAGTTGTGGGCAAACTCCGAACGGTCCTTGTGGGCGGAGGGAATGAGAGCTCAGTTGTGGGAAACTTCCGAGAAGTAGAGGAAAGCTCTTGAAGCGGATCTAAAAATGTCCCAGGGGCGAGTCGCTTCTTTAACTGAAGAGATGAAGCAACAAAAACATGAGATTGAGAGAAAGGCCGCTGATTGGTCGATTCAGTCTATCTATGCCCTTAGGCCAAAGAACCTAACCATAGACCTTACCGACCTCTCGGATGATTACCAGAGGATCCTTGCCTTTATGGCGTAAGCCGATAATGAGGAAGATCAAGTACTTTATCCGAAAGATGATCATCTGGAGGAATATGTTCCAGAGGACCCAATAACTGACCAGGAGGTCGGCGACCAGCCTGGAGAAACCGAGGTTGCATTGGAAGGGCTTAAGGACAAAGACCAGTGATCACTTCTACCCCTACTTTTTCCACAACTCTGCTTAACTGTCTTTGTACATTCCCTTGCACTCAACGATTTATGAATGAAATGATCATTTTTTAAATTATTTGTGAGCACTCGTAATTTTTCGTACTTTACAAACATTACATATGCGAACAGGAGAACACTCTCTAGCTATTTGCGATATTAAATTATTTGTGAGCACTTATAAATTTTTGTACTTCACAAATATTACATATGCGAATAAAAAGATAAAAATAATGCAAGTAATAGAATCATACATTTATACAAGATGAATTTGGCTTAACAGCGATCTTAATTACAAAAGCTTAAAAGGGAATCTTTACAAGGAAAATAAAAGAGAGAGTTCAGAATTACTGATAATAGGGGCGAAGATGTTCAGCATTCCAAGCTCGCGATACTTCAGAACCATTGAGCCTTTTGAGATGATAAGTCCCCAGGCGTATCACTTTAGCAATGCGGTAGGGGCCTTCCCAGTTTGGTCCCAATACTCTCGTGCTTGGTTCCCTTGTACTGAGAATGACTTCTTTCAGAACTAGGTCACTGACCTGAAAGTCTTTTCACCTAACTTTAGAGTCGAATAATCTTTTTGCACGCTGCTGGTAGGTTACTACCCTTAATTGAGCTTTGTCGTGGTGTTCTTCAACTAAGTCTAGACTTACACGCAAAAGTGTTTCATTGTCTGTTTCATTGAAGAGGTCTCTCTGAAGTGAACCAGTCCCTACTTTCACTAGGACCATTGCCTCGCAGCCATATGCTAACGAGAAGGGTGTTTTTGAAGTGGAGGTTCTCGTAGTCGTCCCGTATGCCCATAGGACTTCCGAGAGGTGGTCGACCCAATTTTCCTTAGCAGCGCCAAGCTTAGCTTTCAAAGTATGCTTGATGGTCTTGTTGACAGCTTTAACCTGGCCATTGGCTTGCGGTCTTGCGACTGAGACGAACTTTTTATGGATCCCCAACTCATCACAAAACTGCTTGAATTCCTCGTTGTCGAAATGCTTCCCATTATCAGAGATGAGTGTATGAGGAATTCTGTAGCGACACACTATATTTCTGAAGACGAAGTCCTTGAGCTTCTTGGTAGTGATCGCGGCCAATGGTTCAACTTTGGCCTACTTGGTGAAATAATCCACCGCGACCACAACATACTTGACCCCTCCCCTTCCAACTGGCATAGGTCTAATAAGATCAATTCCCCACATGGAGAATGGCCAGGGGCTGATCATAGTTATCAGCTGGTGGGAAGGAGCTCGTGGTATGTTCGCAAACCCGCTGGCACTTGTCACACTTTTTTACAAAGTTGAAGGTATCCTCTTGAAGTAGGGGCTAATAATACCTTTGACGAACAACTTTGTTGGCGAGGGATCCCGTGGCAGTGTGATTACCAGAGATCCCTTCATGTATCTCCCTCATGATATAGTCTGCTTCTTCATCGGTTACACATCGGAGGAAATGGGTGCTAAACCCTCACTTGTATAACTGATCTCCTATAAGTGTGTAACAAGCATCTCTTGTTTGCAGGGTTCTTGCCTCAATTTTATCATTGTGCAAGGTCCTGTCTCGGAGATACTGAATAACTAAGGTCATCCAAGAAACTGATTTTGTCGTAACCAAGGCCTGTTCAGGCAAGCTGATATTAGGGTTTTCTATGTGCCGAACAAGAATACTTTCTGGGGCATCTAAGTCCAGCGACGAGGCTATTCTTGCCAAGGCATCTACGACAGAATTAATGTCTCTAGGAATCTGCGTGATCGCGAAGTGCTTGAAAGACTCGAGTGCGACCTTAGCTTTCTTCAGATAACTGATCATGTTTTCTTCCTTGGCTTGATACTCTCCCAAAACCTGATTAACAACCAGCATGGAGTTGCTATGAATACTGATCGCGGTTGACCCCATTTCTTTTGCCAATTACAGACCAGCGAGCAGTGCTTCATACTTGGCCTCGTTGTTGGTAACTTTGAACTTAAACGGAAGAATACCGTGGATGCGAGTCCCTTCGGGACTAAGGAGGAGAAGGCCTGCCTTGGCCCTTTTCCTGTTCGAGGATCCATTGACATAGAGGCTCTAGGTCTCTAGATTCTGAATAGTTTCTTGGGTGACTTCGCTGGACTGTTGCTCGGATTTCTGAATCGGTTGGTGTGAAAACTCCGAAATGAAATCGGCAACAACCTGCCCTTTAATGGTTATTTTCGGTCTGTACTGCAGATCGAACTGGCTTAGTTCCATCGCCTATTTGAGCAACTTACCTAAAGCCTCTGGCTTCTGAAGGACTTGCCTGAGTGGGTAGTTGGTCAATGCATGGATAGTGTGGGCATGGAAATAAGGTCGCAACTTCCTGGAGACAATCAGCAGGGCATAAGCTAATCGTAATATACCAGCCATTGGACTCTATTTTCTTCCTGACTCAGAGCTGTACTGACCGTATGCTGAGAGACGGATAGATACAGGAGAAGAATTTCTTGAGAGAGCAGCTTGGATAGAAAGGGTGGTTGTGCTCTTTAATGCTCTAGAAAGCATGTTCGCAGTCCGAAGTCCACTCGAACTTCTTATTGACCCTGAGTATATTGAAAAATGATAAGCAGCGATCTGTTGCTCTTGATGTGAAGCGACTAAGAGCAGCTATTCACCCATTAAGACTCTGAACCTGTTTTCGATTGGTCGGGCTGCTCATATCAAGGAGAGCTTGGATGTTTTTGGGGTTGATTTCCACTCCCTTCTAGTTAACCATATACCCCAGGAATTTTCCCGAGGATACCCCGAACGAACACTTGAGAGGATTGAGCTTCATTCTGTACCTTCAGAGTATACCAAACATCTTACCGAGATGTGCTATGTGATCTGAAGCGACATGTGACTTGACCAGCATATCACCAACATAGACTTCCATTGATTTTCTGATCTGCTTGGAAAACATTCGGTTAACCAGCCGCTGGTAAGTTGCCCCAGCGTTTTTCAAGCTGAAGGGCATAACCTTATAGCAATACAACCCCCGATCTGTAACAAAAAAGGTATGCTCTTCGTCCGTCGTGTACATTAGAATCTGATTGTATCCCGAGTAGGCGTCCATAAAACTCAATAACTTGTGGCCGGAGGTAGCATTGATGAGCTGGTCGATTCTCGACAACGGAAAGTTGTCATTCGAACAGGCTTTGTTGAGGTCGGTGAAGTCAACGTAGGTCCACCATTTACCATTGGGCTTCTTTACCAAGACCGGGTTGGCAACCCAGCTCGGGTAAAGTGCCTCTCGGATGGACCCGTTCAAGAGGAGATTATCTACCTCATCTTTTAAGGAGACATACAGCTCGGGGTCTATTGCTCTTCTCTTTTGGCGAACCGGCCTGACCGCACTATCAATATTCAAGGCATGACATGCATCATTCGGGTTAATCCTGACCATTTCAGCATGAGTCCATGCGAATACGTCGACATTTGTCCTGAGGAAGTTTGTCAGGTCATTGGCAAGCTGAGGGTTGAGATTACTCCCAATTCTCAACACTCGGGTCGACTCGCTTTGATCGACCGATATCTCGGATAGATCCTCGACTGGCCCATTATGAGGGCATTCCTGGATGCGAGGATCCATGTCATCCTCAACCGGGCTAGGTTGTGGCTCAATCCTGCTGATCGCCATTGCCTCTTCGGGGATACCGACCGACACTCTTTTTCCTTTGCACACCATTTGCACTGCCCTTACATAGCAGTCGCGAGATACACGTTGATAACCACTTTCTTCCCTTATCGCCGTCGGGGTGGGAATCTTCATCTTCATATGGTATATTGAGGTGATTGCCTTGAAGTTTCGTAGTAGAGGTCGCCCCAATATGCCATTAAAAGCGGACGGACAGTCTACCACTAAAAACTCTGTCATCTTGGTCATCTCGTTGGTTTCTCCCAATGTGACCAGAAGCGAGATCGTCCCCTTGGGGATCAAATGTTCTCCGATGAAACCGTACAGAGGGATAAAGGCAGGCTTCAAATCTGCCTCGTCTAGTTTCATCTTCTCGATGGCTTGCTGAAATAAGATATTCACGGCGCTTCCATTGTCCACCAGCTTCCAGTGGACTTCGCACCGACCTATTTCAAGCGTGATGACGAGAGCATCATCATGGGGATGACGTAATCGCACAACGTCTTTCTTGGAGAAGGTGATTTCCTCCTCTCTGCGAACCTTGGCGGGTCGCGGCGTTGTGCTCATGACACTTATGGGGTCATGACGGACTACTTGAGCATATCTTTCCTAGGCACCTCTAGAGTTCCCTACGAGGTGTGGTCCTCCAAAGATGATCCCTACACTGTAAAGACATTTACGACCACGACGCTTCTTTCCCGGCTCCTCCTGATTTTTCTCCTGAACGGGAGCTGAGTCACCGACATATTCTTTGAAGTGCCTCTGCTTAATGAGGTCCTCAATTGCCTGCTTGAGGGCCCATCACTCATTGGTGTGGTGCTCATTATCTCGATGATAACGGTAGTACTTTTTATTTTTTCTGGCTGAAGGGGGATTTTTCGTGGGCTCGAGCTCTCTGAGCAAACCAGCCTCCTCCGATTTATCCAGAATAGCCGATACCGAGGCATTTAGGGGGGTGTATTGACTCTTATCGCGATCATGATGAGGAACTGGGGCATAAGATTTCTTGGGCTCGTACCACTGCTTCTTTTCTTTTCACTGATCATCATTAACCCGTCTACGATTAGCCCTCCTATTCTCCCCCTGCTTGGGAGCACTGCTCGAAGGACTGGGGTCGTGGCAATTGAGAGCGGCCACAAAATTTTCAATGCAGAGGTACTTTTCAGTAAGGTTGTAGAAGTGAGTGAGGGAAACATCATCCCCAGATTGCAGTTCCTTCCATAAGTCTGTATGCGGGCGAACTCCCATAATGATGAGAGTTCGAACAAACTCTTCAAGAGTATGAGCCACTTTGTGGAGCTCCATATGGAACCTGTCTATATAAGATTGGAGGGGTTCACCCCTCTCTTTTCGTATATTGCTCAGGTAGCATAGCGGCATTGAGAACTTCTTGTTCGCTTGGAAGTGCCTCAGAAACTTTGAGCTCATTTAAGGCCATGAGCCAACCGATCCTGTTAGAAACGACTTGAACCAGTGCTTGGCATGGGCGGTGAGGGTTACTGCCAAGCAACAACATTTTGCCAAGTCAGAGACTTGGTGGAGTTCCATGAGGTTGTTGAACTCGTATAAATGATCATGAGGATTGGAATTCCCATCGAATGCTCGCATGTCGGGCATTCTAAATCTCGATGGGAGAGGGGCAGCTAACACTGCTAGAGAAAAGGGAGACACCTTTGCGACCTGCCCTTGCTCATTCTATTGAGCCTTAAGCTGATCCAGAACTCACTGTAGTTCCTTAATCTGAGGCAGCGGAGCTACCTGGGGATCACTTTCAGCAATGTGGGTTCGACCCTCACAGTTGCGGTTGAGGAAAGACCGCAAATCGGCCTCTTCCTTATTAGTGTATATTAGTGTATGCCCTAGAAACCATTCGGGTTGTCGGTTTCAAAGCATTTTGTCTTGTATCTATATATCATAAATAATAGAAGAAAGAGTTCGTCAATTCATATATATAAATTACTTCCTTTATTCAGTCATGCATTTAAAATAAAGTATGTATATGAATTGTCTAGATGATTTATTTAATCGGTAAATGAATTATCGAAAAGGGTTCCCTACAAAAGCAATATAATTTAGGCAACTATATTGCACAGTAGGCATATCGGTTGCTTCTGAAAGATATCATGAGTTGATATAAGTACGGATGATGATGATAGTCATGTCACTGGGGCATTGGTATGGATTAGCGGTTGGTGAACTATTTTTCAAACGTGATCGAATAACGACAAATCACTTGGAAAAGCATGTAGTCAATGATTTATTGTTTGGTTATATCAGTGCACGATGTAGTCCTTTGACCTGAGACATTGTAGTCGGATCCGATACGGATAAGTATGGTCCATACGGTGTATAAGTACGAGACTAATCATGTTTCGAATAATAAAGCCTATTTGGTCATGCGTTGTTCATAGCGGAAACGAACGATAGTCAAGAGGGGATCCATTGACTCAAAAATATAGGATCGGGAGTACCGTTGACTCCATCCGAATTCGAGTTCCTAGACGAACGTCGATAAGTGTCGAAAATCAGAATCTCTGGCCAGAGTCTATTATTAGTCATACAAAAGCAAGTTTGTGTTGACGAGTTCCAGACATATTGATCGACGATTCGGTAGAAGATCTAGTTTAGAATTTTGATGTTCCATGAATCTGTGCTTGATCAGGATATTTCAATGGAGGGAATTTACCTGCATGGTACATTGCTAGATGTATACCATAGTCGTTGGGCCTCCGGACAAGTTTCTGGATTCATCCAGAACCGGCTCACGGCTAATCCATGGTGGACCTACATGGTCACACCAATAGCCTTGAGAAGTTAGAGAAGGATGAGAGAGAGAAATGATTATCCGAGGAGGGTGAAAGACCAGCATGCATGCATGAAGAGTGGTGGAAATGGAGAAGAAAGCATGAAAAGGATGGATTAAAAAAAAACGTTTTTCATGCAAAGCTTGAAAAGAGATTATACCTACTCCTTTGCTTTGGATTGATGAAGATTAGCCTCAAAAGGATGAAACCTCCACACTTTAACACCACCTTGAGAGATTAGAGAGTGGCCGTGGGTTTGAGAGAGAGTTTTAGTTTGTTTTTGAGTGAACAAGTGAAGAATAAACTAAAATGGAACCTTTTGCATTTATATATACTTGGGCAATTTTGTAATTATTTATTTTTCACTTCCAAGCCCAATAAAATCTTATTTTAAAAAGGGACCCCACGAATTTATTATGCTACCCTGTGAATAATCAATATTATTCAAGGGCCCATGTAAACTAAACTAGTTTACATTAACAACCCATAAATTTACCCTTTTTACCCTTTAACTATTAAAAGGTTATTTTTGTTCATCTCATTAATCTTAACACTTTAAGATATAATAATTAAATATAATTAATTATTGCTTGACCATTTTAACCCTTAAAATGTCACAAAATAATTTCTATGTAACTATTACTATAGAAATCCCGTTATTACCTCCGGAAGGTGCTAGCCCTCTTCGGATAATCATTTCTCTCTCTCATCCTTCTCAACTTCTCAAGGCTATTGGTGTGGACCATGTAGGTCCACCATGGATTAGTGTGACCGGTTCTGGATGAATTTGGAAACCTGTCCGGAGGCCCAACGACTATGGTAAACATCTAGCAATGTGCCATAGTCCCTAAACCACAATGAAGAATACTTCATCGAATCATTTCAGATCATACGTACCATGCAGGTAAAGTCCCTCAATTGAGATATCCTGATCGAGTATGGATTCGGAATGTCGAAATCCTAAACTCGATCTTCTACGATCGTCGATCAATTATGTCCGGAACTCATCATCACAAACTGCTTTTGTATGATAATAATAGACTTGGCCAGAGATTCTGATTTCCGACATTTATCGACGTTCGTCTAGGAACTCAAATCCGGATGGAGTCAGCAGTACTCCCGATCCTATATTTTCGAGTCAATGGATCCCCTCTTGACCATCGTTCGTTTCCGCATATGAAAAACGCATGACCAAATAGGTTTATTATACGAAAAATGATTAGTCTCATACTTATAAACCGTATGAACCATACGCATCCATATCGGATCTGACTACAATGTCTCAGGTCAAAGGACTAAATCGTGCACTGATATAACCAAACGATAATCATTGACTACATGCTTTTCCAAGTGATTTGTCGTTATTCGGTCACGTTCGAAAAACAGTTCACCAACCGTTAATCCATACCAATGCCCCAGTGACATGATTATCATCATCATCTGTACTTATCAACTCATGATATCTTCGGAAGCATCCGATATGCCTACTGTGCAATATAGTTGCCCAATTATATTGCTTTCGTAGGGAACCCTTTTCGATGATTCATTTACCGATTAAATGAATCATCTGGACAATTCATATACAACTTTATTTAAATGTATGACTGAATAAAGGAAGCAATTTAATATATGAATTGAAGAACTCTTTCTTCTATTATTATTGATATATATAGATACAAGATAAATGTTCTGAAACCGATAACACGAATGGTTTCTAGGGCATACACTAATATACACTAACAGAGGGTTAGCACCTTCCGAGGGTAATAACGATTTCTATGGTAATAGTTACATAGAAAATTGTTTGTGACATTTTAAGGGTTAAATGGTCAAGCATAATAATTATATTTAATTATTATATCTTAAAGCGTTAAGATTAAGAGAGAACGAAAATTACCTTTTAATAGTTAAAGGGTAAAAGGGTAAATTTATGGGTTGTAATGTAAACTAGTTTAGTTTACATGGACCTTGAATAATATTGATATTCAAAGGGTGACAATAAATACTTGGGCTCCTTTTTAAAATAAGATTTTATTGGGCTTGAAAGTGAAAATCAATAATTACAAATTGCCCAAGTATATAAATGCAAAAGGTTGCATTTTAGTTAATAACACACATTGTTCACTCAAAGCAAACTAAAAACTCTCTCTCAAAGCCACGGCCACT